TTAGGATTATAAATTTACAATTTATAATTGATAATCTTAGTTGTAAGTGTTTTAAGAGGGCGTCGCACCGGCGATTTACATGTTTACGCCAACTGAAAATAACTCGCTTAATTTTGGTTTTAGAGTAAAAGAACCCATTATAAAATTAAAAGAAAACAATATTCCGGAGGGCCAGACCGTGCGCTTTAAAAAAAAATTAATTTTTTGAAGAGTTACAGTCATTTAAAAATGTTAAAAAAAGTCGTTATTTCTAAACTATGTATTGAGCGTTATATTTGGAATAATGAAAAAAACGCACCGTTTTGCCCTCCGGAATATTGTTCTCTTTTAATTTTATAATGAGTGCTTTTACTCTAAAACCAAAATTAAGCGAGTTATTTTCAGTCTGCTTAAACATGTAGAGATGAAAAAACATTTTTAAATCGCTTTCAAGGATACTGTGAAAGTCCAAAAAATAAATTAACACATCACAGTTTAACCTTTAAATAAAGATTTTGTAAAAAGTTGCCTTTACTTTACTCCTTAAAAATGGGCGGTGCGACGCCTTTTAAGTTTGTATTATTTATTAGAAATACTTTATTTTTTGGAATAAACGAAAGTACTTAAAATTAAAAATAATAATTAAATTGGTAGTAGCATACTTTCCGGTTTAAATATCTCAATGAAGAATAAATTGTTCTTCAATTAAAAAATTATTCCATATTTTCATTAGGTTATTCAAATAGTATTTTCCTGTATTTTTTAATACAGCAATGAAAACATTACCTAACCAGAATTTACATTATGTGTGGTATTTAAGCAATAGTATTTTGTATAGTTGTCTTTTTTTAACCTCTTGGTGCGCACGAGACCACAAAAACAAATTGTATTTTTCCTCATTAATAAATCAATATTTTAGATTTGTTTATAATAATTATTCTGTTTACATGCAATAGTCTTTCGGTTTTTATTTACAAAAAGCTTTTATAGTTTATATATGTAGAAATTAGCATTATATAAAAGGTGAATAAGTTGGTCAAAAGGAAATTTTGCAACAAGATTCAAGAGGTTAGTTAGTTTAACAAAAAAAAAAGTGTATCTTGCACCTTTGTATCTTTTGTTTTGTTGATAATCAATTTGTTTAAGCTATTTTTCTACTTTTTCTTATTTTATGTACTAAATTGAAAAAAAAAATAGAATGGTATAATCCAGTGGCGGTCGCACCCCCTACAGAAATAACAAAATAGTAGAAATGATATATTTGGTTTGATATTTGATGTTAAGGAATATACTTTATAATATATATATATATATATATTATATTATAATATGATATATTCTATAATATATAATATAATCCATTACAGTAAGAATTTTGGAATGTGAAGTCAAGGCAGTTATTTTGAAATAAACTGATCAAATCACAGTTAAAAGCTTCAATGAGTTTTCGAATGGTATGAGAAACTACCATAGTACCAAGTTTAATATTGTCAGTTATCCACGCAAAAGCGTTTTTTTCTATTTTGTTTCGTATAATATGTATGTACCTTCAATCTTCAATCTCATATTCAACTGTTGCATGAAATCGACGAACTTTACCTAACTTTATATGGTGGCAAAATGATAACATACATACATGACTACATTGCATTTTATTAAAATTTGCTAAGGTTTTACTCTAGTGAATAGTGTTGTGCATAAGTCTAAGCACACAGCAAATAAATCTTACAATTTTCCATGAATATGAAATATATGACTTCTTGCTAAAATCACGTGTCAATTGCCAATATAGTCAATGGCGCTCACACACAGTTCAAACATATCTTTGTAACCTTTACGGTCTTGCTTTGGTTGTTTTACTATTAAACCAGAAATGGACCATGCACTATACAAAGACCGTGTACAACTCCAACTCCTTAGTACGACATTCCAATTTGCTAAAAAAGGACGTCGCTAATAAACTCAATGACTACTTCTACTTGTTGCGATGAACTAACAAATTGTAATGTTTAAATGTGTAGTGTTTAACTAAATAATTTTTATATATAATAATTACTAATCAGGTTTTTGTAAAATGATTACATTCCAATCCAGTCGCTACACTTCAATGGTTGATGAACAATTGTCTGCACAGCACATAGTATGAAGCAATGAAAATTCACTTTTCAAATATATTTGATTTTGGTAGTTAGTTATTGCATCATAAAAGTTTCCAAAAATTTTAAAGACTTTTGTTACTGTACTCTAAAGAGTCATTTGTTTTAATTAACAAATGTACCTATTCCAAAAGCGTGTAATGTATTGCCTGTCACACGTTGGGTATAAACTATATTTTTGGTATTTAAGTTTCCCATTTTGACAATAGTAAGAAAATTGTAATCTTAATGTTACAGTAAAGTTACTGAATCTTTATTAAAAAATATAGTACTTAAACACTAAATATATTATTCATTTTATAGGATATTTAGCATATCAATTTGTTTTATTCGCTCCTAAATTTGTACGAAAATCAAAATTCTCTATTTTTTATCCAGTGAAAAATTGTTAAAAAAAAAAAATAATAAATCTCGGCCAATTCCGTTATTAGACGAAAAGATTTAATTTGAGTCTCTGATTTAATGACAAAAATTTCAGAACTTTAAAACTGGTCGAAATCGATTTTTCGCGAAAAATATCATAAATAACATATATTTTAGGGGTAAACATGAGTGATAAAAGTTTTAAAAAAAAATCTCATATTAGACCAAAAGAAGTTTATAAAAAGTTTTAAAAGATTTTTTTTGTTTTGTTTTTGATAATACCATGTCCAAATAATATCTTTAATACCCTTATAAATTTGCATTTAATTCGAATTTTTGTTACGCGTCATACGCTTGTAATTTTCTTGCTTTTTTTTTTTGTATTTTATTAAAATTAGTTTACTTCTAAGATTCACTCATTGTACGTCATGTAGCTTAGACTTTTACAGTCGCATCTTTAAGGTTTTCCACCACTGTGTATTATTATTAGTTTTTACACGGTGTGGAAAATCTCAATAAATGCGACGAGTACAGTTACACTAACTTCACTGCTATGGGATTTCGACGGTGAACAATATTAGAACGAGCATACTGTGTAATTTATATTATATTGCATTTCGTATGGTCTTTCTGCCGTTATATACAGTTGAACACACGGGAAGTTGACCATACAATATGCAATGGATATGTTTATTTAAGTACTTCAGAGTTAGCAACTTTTCGTGGTGGCAAATAAAAAGGCGCACATACTTCTCGTTGTAACTTGAAGAGTTTTACACTAGTGGTTTTACCATTAACACGCCGGTGATCAACTCTTTAGATACAATGACTATGTACAGCTGCAATACTTTAAGTTGACCTTCAACTATGCGCCAGGTCGTGTAGAAATAACCGCCGTATTGTGGCGTTTGATATTGTACCGATTTTATTGTAACAATGTTAGTTTATCTTCAATCTTGTCGTTTTTTTTTCAAATTACTAATCATCGTGGATTGTGTACAAATTAAAAGTGTATCTAATTTGAATACTATACTTCAAGAGGACGCTACACCACCTGATTATGTTGTAGTAAAGTATAGGGAACCTTTTTTAATACAACTTTGTATCCAGCTAAAATTTAACATAGCAAAACGTTTTTGCTATGTTAAATGTTAGTTTTTGCCAAAAACTAAAAAGAAATCGTCTTTGATGTTTAATATACATATTGTTTCCAAAACTTGAAACGCAGTTATTATTGTACAAAAACACGTATCGGAAGATGCACTTTTTAGAGAAACACAGCAGTTTCAGCGTAATGAACACGTCTATAAAAAAAATATAAATCGAGACATAAACTATATTTTAACATGACGATTATTAATAAAGTTATTAGACACTCACTTATACAGTCAATTGATTTTATAAGTTTTCAATAATTTATAACTTTGCCGAATATTGTTGTAACAAAAATCTAGATAAGGTTTTTATTTATACGCTATAACTGTCCAGTTTCACAGAAAAGTGCATATCGCCCAAGACTGGAGACATGTTTTACACCCAAATAAAAAGTGGTGTGGCGCCCTCTTTAGGATACTATAATTTGTAACATAGATTGTATACATTTCTACAGATTTAAGGAAACAAAATGAAACAACGTTGTTTGCTATACATCGCATTTTTACCGTTTTTTTTAATTCTGAGTATTCTGGTTTATATTTAAATTTACTCGTCGAAAATAACGGTATAAAATGAGACGACCAACGAACGCTTCGGAGTTATTTCATCGAGACAGATTTTACCTCTGTAACTTCTAGAATTGTGTAATTTGTAATTATGTGTATTACAGTGGCGTACATTCAACTGTTCAATAGGGGGGGGGATTTAGGGATTTAAACGACACATATTGAAGGACTTTTTATGACTTGTTTATATTTTATTATACCTATTTTATTACTGTTTTTTTTTTTTTTTTGGTTCTGCGGAGCGATTTTTTCTGACTACCCACCCGTATGTACGCCACTGATGTGTAAGTTTAATTAAATAATTAATTTATTATTTTGTACTTGTAATTTTTTAACTAAGCATAATATATTTAATTGCAATTCCGTAAGGTTTTTACTCTAGTGTCTTGTATAAGTATATCTAAACAGACGGGAATAAAGCTTTGAGTTATGAGTATAAAAGATACGACCGGTCGGACGTCTTTGGAAGGGGTAAGCCCTCCAAGTTTAAAGACCTAGATACCCCCATGAACAAAAAAAAATAGGCTACTAGGCATACCTTTATAATAGATATCAAAGGTGGTACCACAACAGTTCCAAAAGTAAAAAAAAAAAACATTTTTCTAATTATATGAAATTTATATAAACACTCGATTTTGATACTAATCGCGGACAGGCGCAATAACTTGATTGCGCTTTGCACAATACTTAAATTTTAAATTATTACCCCCAAAATTGTTGTGTTTTTATAGTACGGTTTCAAATACTATATAGGTAACTAGTACACGACCATGGTTAATAGGTGATATGCCCGCGCTTTATTGGTTTGTTATCTCTTATCAATTTTTGACAAAACAAAACTTGAAACACGTGCACAGTGGCCGAGCCGAGAGCAAGATTGTCAAGACATTTGTGCATTAAGCATTTACCATTGGACATTGACCATAGAGTATAGACAAGTATGACAATTGACAATCTACAGCCGACAGTCGATGTCCGTTATTTGTTTAGAAACAATTCACATGACTTGGATGGATATTGCAAAAGACAACTAACAAGTATTAATGCTGAAAGCTTTTATAACAAACCGTATACTAAATTCATGTTTTTTACCTTTTAAAAGTATACGGATTTTATTCTAATGTTTTCCATAAGTTCCTATAGTTTTTAATTCTTTCGTTGACAGGTGAGTTGTTAGAATTGTAATTTCTCAGAAGAAGTTTGTCAGAGTCTGGACCGAAGAATATAATATCGCCATGGCTTTATTGAGTGGAATCTGGAACTGGATTAGTGGAAAACAAGACATACCGGAACTCCCTTCTAACATACTTTTTGAAAAAGATGTAACATCGGACAATGACTTTTGGGTAAATATGAATTTACTTGCTAGACCTTATTATTGTCATTTTCGGAGCTAAGGGCTATCGTTTGTAAACTTGCCTAGATTTCATGTATTTTGGACCCAACGTTAGAAATCAAGTATGTTAATGGTATTGTAACGCGACTGCTTGACACCGACAAATGTTTAATCGACGAAAAATATCATTATCAGCCTAAAACTGATAAAGAAATCCGTAACTTTCCTTATATAGAAGTTAAAAGTCCGGTCAGAATATCATTGTATAGAAAAAAAAATTCAAACGAAGAATGGAAAGTCGCTAGTTGTTTTTTATCGAAAGAAGGACCCCACACTCAAGCGACCAGGTGAAGTAATATTATTGATTTTACTCTACAATGTTATTATGATTTTTATTTACAGATTTGGTGCTCATAAATCAGTTTTTGTGGAGTCTGAGGAGCCTACCTCAACATTCACCAACAAAGACAATAGTGACGATAACAAAGCAGATGAAAGTCTAATTACAATCGAAGTTATTGGCGACATACCAAAAATCATTGGTTTTGAACAAGTATCGACAGTACAGGTAGGTTTGGATATCTTTTATAAATCTTTTAAATTTTAACCAAAATTCTTAGATACTATTTAGAAATAATAGCTACGCAGAAAAACGAAAAGTGCTCGACTATCGAACAGAGCCTGGAAATAAGACTCAGCTATCAATTATTAGTAAACCCAAGTTACCAGTTACACTTGACATTCAATCTCAATATACTTTTGATATAAACTTGGAAGGAAAGTAAGTTCTGCCTCTAGCTATTAACCATTTGTAGAGATGTTATAATGCGAGAGATTTGGAAAGCTGCATTAAATATTATCTTTTTTTTTATAAATTAATTGCTTTTGTGATTGCGCATTATAGTAAAATAAAATATTATATATATTTTTATTAAGTGAAAATGAGTTTTGCACAAACAGCGTAACTAAATATTAATTTAGCGATAGCTGAGGCGATATTTTATTTATTATGTGTTTTTATATTTATTTTATTATTTTTGTGTCTGTACCCACGATATTTTTTAAGCCACTGAACTGATTTCTTCGTATATCATCTATTAAGATCAGAAATCATACCTGTAAGGTACATTATGCCCCAATGCCACTGTACGAGCTTTTTTTTTTATTTACTTGTATTTATTTGGATTTTAATTCCTGTCCAGATTCCTAGGAAGATCTACAGAAAAAGTTGAATTTGTTTTTGAAGACATAATTTACAAAATAGGCATAAACATCGAAGTAGTGGATTCAAGAGTTATTGTTCCAACAGACACTAGAAGTTTTAAAAGACACCAAGTTGATATGCAGTAACTATATTTCTAATTTTACAATACATTCTTTAACATATTAACCTATTTATTAATATTATTATTATTTTATTAAGGAAATTACTTGAAATGAAAAATGAATATTTTGTTCCCGGGATTCGTCCGGGGAAACGTGCCCAATTTTCTAGAGTTAAAATCGGTCAATGGACCATAAGTAATCAGTTGAACAAATGTTATTGGACTAACGAAGGAAAATATAATTTGTAAGATACGAATAATATGATCATTTAAACTACAATTTTTTAAGTGTGTATAGTGTTCCAACAAAGTAATACGATTATTTTTTTTCAAGCAATATCAATGAAGTTAAAGATAAAATTAGTAACCTGTATCCCGCTGCTTTTGAGTCGCTTTGCTATTCAAATTATAAAGCGAAATTCCACACACTTTTATTCATGGAAGAAATTGAAGTACTTTGATTTGTCCAATTACTCTATCTCGAAAGTTTAAAGTTAACTGGTGTTTGTGTAATAAATAATTTTATTTATTTCAGATTACTATTGCACTCCAGAAGTACTCACAGGAAAGAATTCATTTTGAACATTGTGGTGAATTTTTATCGTTAACTATACCCAATCTCTCTGAGCAACGGCCTTCGTTAATAAGTGGAGATTTTGCTGCAGTAACAGATCCACCAAATTGTACTAAACTATTAGGTAATAAATTATTAATAATTTTTGTTATTAAAACCTAGTAAAACTTTTGATACAACTTGGAATTTTTTTTTTTTAAAGACGGCAACAATGGACGTTACGAAGGTCTCATTCACAAAGTTACAGCTGACACGATTATGTTAAAATTCGATCCAGAGTTTCACAGCATTTGCGGCAACTACGACTTCAGCGTGACGTTTTTCCATTCCCGGACAATATATCGAAAACAACATGAAATTATCAATGAAGTGTGGAGAAAAAGTAGTTTGGGCGAAGCCTTTTTATTCCCGTATAAGGAAAGCATGGAATATCAGCCACCTAAAATAATAATGGAAAATAATAAAAAAGAACAACAAGAGAATGGGCAGTGGAATGAAAATTTAAATTCTGAAAACAAGCTGTTGCCTAAGCCAAAAGTTATTTGTGAAATTCGGTGGTTTAACAAAAAATTAAACTCCGAACAAAAATGTGCTGTAATGAACATTCTTAAAGGTGAAGGACGACCAATGCCCTATGTCATATTCGGACCGCCCGGTACAGGGAAAACCATAACATTGACTGAATCAATAATCCAAGTTTATAAAGAACTTTCCAGGAGCAAGTAAATATGATCCGGCAATGTACAGTGTGTATGAGTATATGCTGTGTGTACCCACCTACATTTCTATGAATGCATTTACAGCAAAGGCGCAGCTAGGTTTTGCAAGGTTCCTAAAATTTGATCACAAATTCGGTTAAAATAAGTAAGAAAATTATAAAAAAAAAATTAAAAATATATGTAAAAGATTTAAAAACAAAATTAAATTAATTGATCTTTTTTTCAAAATTTGAAATCAATGTGATAGATACATTGTAAAGAGCCTTCAGGTTATAATCTTGTTATGTTTGCAATTTTGCTATTTCCGTTATGTTTATGAGATCATACCTAACTCGGCCCACTCAGCTAATAAAAGATTATTATTTTTTGTTTACTCATTTATCTTTGATTATTTGTGACCACTCTTTTTGTTATTTATTATTCATTAGAGTATTAGACCAAGGTAAAGTGAGAAACACCTGACAAAACGCAAAGCCCTGGAACTGTCCCACTCCCTTCTGCGGTCCTTGCCGGGTAGATGTACTCAAGTAAACTGTGTATATAAATATTTTGTTTTGAGTACACGCTATAGAGTTAAAGTACATGCATACACAGATGAGTGGTAGGTGGGAACACGCAAGATATTCCCTAAGACTACACACTGGTGGGGAAACAAAAAAAAAAGAAATGCCTTATAAAACCTCTAAATTCAACTTTAGATTACTGGTATGTGCTCCAACAAATTCTGCAGCAGACTTATTGCTAATTAAACTAGTGGAAACTGGATTGTTTGACGAAACTATAATGAAACGTTTAATCGGCTATAATTATTTTATGACTTCGAATTACACTGAAGAAATCGACAAATATTGTTATTTACCCGACATGGAGAATGCATGCAACAATACTTGTTCACCAGGTGAATTGTGTATTATATTTATACAATATCGCCTGTAGACTGTAACATAAAAAATATTATACGCCATCTTGCCTATTTTTAGATGTAAAGACAATCAATAAAAATGATATTCTTAAACTGAAAGTAGTCATTACCACCGCTGGGTCGGCTGGTATGTTGTACATGATGGGCATTCGAAGTGGAACGTTCACACACATATTTGTCGATGAAGCCGGACAAATGACTGAACCCGAAATATTATTGCCGCTTTGTAAGCATTTATTTTAAGCATGGTTATTAATTTATTTTCCAGAGTTCACAAATAAATACCTAAACCCAGCAGGTTATTTTTGTTTAAGCCCAGTAAATGTTTGGTATTTTCTCAACAAAAAACACTTGGCTTGGAAAAAAAAAACACTTATTATTGCCAACTGCTAATTACTTTCATTAACGTTGTGGGTCCAATAGCTTTTCTAGATCCTTTCCGAGACGGACAAGTTGTTTTGGCCGGTGATCCTAAACAGCTGGGACCCGTTGTTATGTCAACGTTGGCAAAAAATTCTGGTCTTGGACAATCGATGTTGGCTCGTTTCATTCATTACCCGTCGTATAGTAGAGATCCGGATCTTTTCCCTGACAACAATGGTTACAACCCCAGAGTCATAACCCACTTGATTCGTAACTATCGTTCATTACCTGAAATTGTGGACGTTTACAATAAAATGTTTTACGACTCATTACTTGTAGCAACTGTAAGTAAAATAAAACAAAAACCTGTATGATATTTTTTCAAACTATTAATATACTCGTTTACGACAGAAATTGGATGATAATGTACCGGAAAGAATAATGGTTAATAATCTAAACGAAAACGCTCATTGGGGCATTAATTGTAAAGGACCCGTTATAGTGCATGGAATCAAAGGTGAAGACTTTCAGGAGCCTTCCAGTCCATCTTGGTTTAACCCACATGAAGCTTTTCAAGTGTTATTATACACTACCAGATTACTCAAAGCTGGCATATCCGCAGCAGACATTGGAATAATCAGTCCGTATTGTGCTCAGGTATTAATATTTCCAAGACGGAAAAAAATATAACCTTCACTCGTTAGGATTCACAAATGTGATATGTTGTAATGCACTTTGCATTATGCCTGAAAATTAATACCTTCTATAATGTGACTTTGAAAAGTAGTATGTTTCGTATTTTTCTACAGAAATGGACATTTTTTAAGGGTTTTGCAACGTAAAGTACCATGTTTTGTAAATTGTCACAAAAACTAAATCTGAATATAGGTAAATCTTCTTTTTCTCTTTTTTGAGCTAAATTTTTGTATTTAAGGTGTCAATAATTGACTGATGGTATATTTAGTGTTAGTCAATAAATAAAAATATTTAAAAATCTGTATGATTTTTTTTTTAGAAAATACAACTTTTAACCTATTTGTTCTTAAGAATTTTTTTTGGATCAGATCTTCAAATACATTTTTAAAAAAACTAAATATGTTTAGGGCTGGAACAATTGATTTTGATTTATTTGTAGACCAGTATAATAATAAACTATTTTATCGGTATTAAGTAATTCATTCTTATAACGTCATATTATGTATTCAATTTTTATACTAGGTGTGCAAGATCAACGAGTTGTTGAAAATGTATCATCCAGATATCGAATTACCCAAAGTGGGCACTGTTGAAATGTTTCAAGGTCAAGAGAGAATGGTCATAATCATATCTATAGTCAGGAGTACATCAAAAGCTGGAATTGAGAAGGACAAAAAATTTAGTCTGGGTTTTTTCGGTTCCAAGGAACGTGTCAATGTTTCTTTGTCGAGAGCTAAAGGGCTATTGATTGTTATTGGAAATCCATCTAATATGTTATCAAATACTTTTTGGAAGAAAATACTAAACCAAGCAATTGCAAATCAAAATTACGTTGGATGTAACATATCAGAATGGTCGGAAAATGACATTATAAAAGTTCCTAACAAAGAATATAATTTAAACAACTAATTTTAAGTGTTAACAATGTTTTATTAAGTATCAAGTATTTTAATGTCAAACTAAAAGTAAAAATGTTTCACAGCCAATCAATATAGTATGTACATATTTTGTTTTATTTTTAAATATGATTTCTCGCATCATGTCTAATATGAAATGTGTATATAAATCAAATTGAGAATTAAACTTAAAAATTATAGTTGTGTAAAATACATTTTCGTAAAACAAAATAACATTTTAATTAGTAGTTCAATTATTACGAAATTGATAATTTTAAATATAAATACTTGATTAATTAATGCACTATTTACAAATCAACCTTAGGCGACTGCCCGCTATTTACAGGTATAGCATTTAATTCTGTGCGCATGCATAAAAACTCTGCGCATATGCACGTAATGGCCGCACAACTTGCATTTAATAACCACCAAAACATTGTAGGTAGTGTTGCATTGTACCAAATACAAGCCATCAAGTGGATAAGGTGAATTGTACAGGAATAATCCAAACATAAACGGTAACGTTCTACAATCCTCCATATAAAAGTAGCCCTTAAAATAAATAAACTGTGTTTAAATGATATAACTATTGGCACATTGTTTCAGAATCTTATGTTGATAGAATAATAGCTATAAAACAATTAATAATAACATTACACTCACCCACTAAGTGCGTTTAGTGCAAATGCCACTATTACAAATTTTTCGCCTGTCACTGTGCTCAATTCCTGTAGTAGAAAAATAAATTAAAATCAAAATAATCCTAAACTGATAATATAAACTTGCTTTAAATTCAAAAATGACATCTAACGATCGAGAAGTGCCGACCACGTAGCTGATGATCGTAATCCATATGCACATAGTAAAATAGTACAAAGATTGGATGGATACTATCTGAGCGATGATGAGCACAGGGTCCCACACAGTGATACGGAAGTGTCCCGTATCAGACGACAAGCGGCTGTAAGACGCGGTTTTACTGAAACATAAAAAATAAAATGAATTTTTAAATACAACCTTAGTTTGATTCATTGGTGTATTTTATAGTTATAATTTTAGCTATCGACTCACTCTGAACCCGTAAACCTGTTCAGTATCGACCACAGCGATATCGACATGGTTGGAAAATGGAATGTCCTCATAAATACAAATTATTGACCACGTAAGTAATACACGAACAAAAAAAAGGAAACACAATGACAAAATAATATGATGCTTGGTAAATGAATATTTACATAGACGAATGTATATGTAATGAAATCGACAAAAGTTTTAAATCGCGCATAGGTAATAACTAATGATAAATGATAACTGATAACGATTGATAAGAATACGAATCCAGGTGGATTGATAAGGTGTAAATAAATATTAGGAAAACTGGTCATTGGTAAAAAGTGTACAATGGAAAAAATGGTCCTTGGTAATATGTGCAGTTTGGGAAAAGTGGTGTTATCCCTAAACCACGGTTGTAGCTAGACCGGTTGCGTATCGAGCTATGAAAAAGCGGCTACAACGGGATAATACAGTTACCACGAATGTTGCGTGCTACGATGTGATGTTATTCCGACCTTTTTTTTACGAATGACAATTGTTTCGACGACAATTGACACGAATACATTTACTACGAAAATAATGTCTCTGTTATCAGTTAGCTGTTATCAATTATCTGCTATCTATCGTGGTTGTAGCCTATTGTGATAAATGATAACAAAGTACAATTTAACATCATGCGCAAGACGTGCATACTATAAAGTAGGTAGAGCCGATGTAGGAATTAAATTGTCAAAATTAAATAATACTTTTAAGTAATTAATTTCATTTGACGTTCATTCTATCGACCTAAATTGCTATAAATTTGTACAAAACATTCATATTTGGTTTTTATAGTAGAAGTTAGTTTAATCTAAAGAAATATCTATTGAATGAGGTGTTGTTTTTGTTAGCTAATTTATAATTATTTTTATCTCTTCTTTTTAGAAGTCTAATAAATATTGTCTAGAAAATGTTCGGTCGCCTGAATTGTCGGTTAACGCCGATGTGTTTCAACAGACCCAAGGTGATTGTTAACGATGTACAAAACTGTGTTTCTGTCGCACTGCTGACACATAAGATGAGCTTCAGTTCTACAATGAATAATTTTGCCATGCATGACGATTTGGAACCGAAGAAATGGTTAAAATATAATGACACTATTTTTCCTCCACAAGAACCCGGAGAAGAAAGACGACCAGCGGTAAGTCGTTATATACAATACGTTAGTATTTTTATTAATTTGGTCATAATTTATTATAGTACATTTGTCATCAAGTAGCAAATATCAAGTATAGCCCCAAAAAGATGTGGTACGTCGCTTGTTTTGTACGTGGAATGTCTGTGGATGAAGCTTTCAAGCAATTGCCTTTGGTCGGCCGCAAAGGTGCCACTATTGTAAGAGATGCCATTCTAGAAGCGCAGAAACTAGCCGTTGAAAAACACCACGTAGAATTTAAAACTAACCTCTGGATTGGTAAGAAATGATAATACTGTGAAATTTTTACTCAAAACTGGCTACTCGTCCTCTGTCAAAATCATTCTATCGCGCTCATTTATTATAACATATTGTGTCAATTTTCGACAAGACTTTTCTTATGTTGTTTTTAGCGGAATCTTTTTGTACCAAAGGACCAGTTGTTAAAGGAATTCGTAGACACGCAAGACAACGTATGGGAGAAGTCATGTATCGTTACTGCCATTATTTTGTGCGTTTAGAAGAAGGAGAACCACCAAAAGAATACTACTATAGTTGGCCAAAAACCGGACCAACACTATTGGCACAATGGATAGACGAAGTGAGAGGTCGTAAAATTGAAGGGTCATTGTAATATTTTTTTAAAAATAAAAATAAAATTTAGTGGTAAGCAATGTACATTTATAATTTTCTTAAAATAAATATAATATGAAATATTTATAATACAATTGTGTAAATCTATTATTACAAAAATAAATATATCTATTATATCACTTTAGTTCAAAACTGTAGTCAATGAATGTTTAATTTTGTTTGGCCGGAGAACGCAATAGGCGTACATAAATTAGAGTTTTCTTTGCTGTGTCGGATGCCGTAACCAAAGTAAATTGCAAATCCTATAAAAAAATGTGTTAAAAATTGCATTATTACTAGAACACATCTGAGAATTATTTAAATCAAATTATTAACATAAAGCCAAAGAGACTTTTAAGTTTTAATAAATGTTTAATTTTATCTCAAAATATTTTTTATTTAAATAAAAATAAAAACAATTATTTTAATCTAATTAAATTAATAAATATTTATTTAAAATAACATTTTATTTAAAGCAAGCAAGTAAAAATGTAATTTAAGTAATTCAATATTTTCATTATTCATTATTATTTGATATTTAAATCAAAATTGCTTGGGTTTAAAATCTGATACATTCAAATAATATGCTACATCAGAGTTGGGCATTATATGAATAATATATTTTAATCTAGATTAAAATATATTTTTTTTATCATTTGTTACTCGATTAATTTATTAAAAAATAGTTTCAAATTTCTTGTTTGTCAACACTATTCATTATTTACAACAACTTTTCTTTATTCGTTATCTTTTTATTTATTTAAATATCAAAATAATTATCATAACTGGGAATTTGTATTTAAATACAAAATTGCAAATAACAATTTTTCAAATAATGAGTTATTTAAAATTTAAATACATTTTTTTTAGTAAATTGAAATTATATAAAATATATATAATATATAAAATTACTGTTTTCAATAATATATAATACGTTTACTAAAGTAATTTATTATTTAAAAAGTCCAAATAATATTAAAAATATAAATTATTACAGTGAATTTTTTTGATGAAATACTAGTTAAATTGTTGTTTGAATTTGTTCAATTGAAAATACAATATGATTTATTATTTGAATGTTTAATATTATTTTTACTCCGTTTTTAATGACCATAATAATAAATGTATTAAATGCTATGTACCAATGATCATCCAAATAATGAATCTTGCCCACGTGTAAATGTCGAAAAAGAACATCAAATAAATATTTATAAATATACTTAAGGCCGGAGTAATTGGAACAAATGGTACCTGAAAGGTAGTATAAAATAATAATTGTAATGCATATTAAACACAAAATAACAAAAATAATTATGTTTCTATGCTAGTTTATAATATGTTAAATAGGATGAGTTTTACTTTAAATGTGACTGGTGTTTTTGACGCTGGCTGCAAACTAATAGATATCAATTGAATTATCATTATTACTATTAGTAGTTGTGCGATCTTCCACTGCATACTGTCCAATTCGTACCAATGAGTTAGGTACAAACTTAACGGTAGACACAAAATAGCTAATAAAACAATAACAAATGAATACTTTAGTAAAACAAATTAAATTTAATAAAAAATGATGTTCTCACTAAAACACGTCGTTTGTAAAGACGCTACATAGCTTGTAAGATTGTTCGACCGGACAAATTTGTTATAATTGAATAGCTGTTTTAAGACTTGTTTTTTAGTATAGTTCATTTTCAGCGTAGTCAAAGTCGTGGATTCGATGTACTCGTCAGCTAACATGTCATAATCCAAATCGCTCTCTTCACGGTACCTTTAAATGTGTTTACGGACTAACGATAAGTCATTCCAAATTCGATGATAATATAGAATATAGATCATACCTTGTAAACAGAACACAAACTGCAACCATTACATAAACAAGTAGCGTGCCGATGGTCATCATGTCCACCAGTTGTTTCAAGTTTAATAACGCTGCAAAAAAACCTGAAAATTAAATAATTTTTTATTTTCCAAATTAATAAAACAAATTGTATACTTAGTTACAAACATTCAATGTGTAATTACTACAATTCACAATTATAAACTACAATTTTTAAAAACTTAACGCTAATAAAAAAACTGGTTTCTATTTTAGCTAGTAGACAAAGTTCTTTACGAATTTGGAAACAATTTCAATAAACAGCTGTGCTCGAAAAAGTCTTAGACCAGATTTAGAAAAGAAGTGTATCTATTTGGGTTTTGTTCCAAACGCAATGTCAAATTTGTCAAATCGTACAACATTTTTGTTAAAATTAAAAAAATGTATTTTGACTTTTTTCTGGCTTCTAGTTTTTTTAAGCATTTTAGGTCATTTTTTAAATTGTCTCCCAAGTTTTAAAAATAGGATTCCCTATGATTTAAAAAAAAACCAAATTTTATGTTACACAAGTCCTGATCCGAGTAAAGAAAATAGATTTAAAAATTTGAAAATGGCTAAAATGCACAAATCAAGTTGGAAATGGTAAAACTGTGTTTATTTTTATAACTCTGGAGTAGACTAAAAATATACTAAATGTGCTAAAAAATATCTGGGGCCAAAAAAATGTATGAATTTTTAAATTATTGCTCCAAAATTATGTTAGGTATACAATTTGTTTTTAATAATACTATAGGTATCAATCCCCTTCACATTAAAAACCTCAAATGTCACCTCTGTTATCAATATAGAATAATTTGGATAATATCATTATACCTATGTGCTATAGTGTTTGAAGTCTACATGTTTAAAAAGTAATTTGCAATTGAAAATTACTAGCTGTATTTAATTACCAATAGTTTCAAATGACTCAAGTAGTAAATTAAAAATTACCCCCAGATTAATACAAATATTTTACCTGTGATGGTGCCAGCAAACATTGTGCCGATAAACGGTGTTTTGAACTTGGGGTGAACTCGGCCCAGACCTTCGAATATCAACCCGTCGTTAGACATGGCGTACAATATTCTCGGCAACGGATACATAGCTCCGAACATACTTGAAATGACAAAATTCAGTGCTCAATAACAATTTTAGTAATCATTTTTTGCTTATTTTTTTTTTTAACATAAGGGTTTTATAACACTTACCAAGCACACATTCCAAAAATCGCTCCAACTCCGATAATCCAATTAAACATTGACCAGCCAAACACGTCAAAAGCGTAACTTATGGGCATGTCTGCGTCCTATCGCAATTTGAACAAAGTTAGTTAATAAATTAATATTTATTCAATCGGGTTAGTGTACCTGGGCATAGTACGGGATCATCAGCGTGAGCACCGCGGAAACTCCAGAATAAGCAAGAAACACAATGAACAACGACAGTATAATAGCTAAGGGCAATGATTTTTGCGGATTCTTCACTTCTTCCCCAGACGTAGCTATGCAGTCGAAGCCGACAAAACCGTAAAAACATGTGGCCGCTCCTTGTAGCGCACCTTGCAAGCCGTAGGGCATGAAACCGCCTTCCCCTGCCCAATTGGGAACTTCAGCTTTGGGCAGCGACCAGTTTTTGAAATCGACTGTGGGTTTACAAGTACAACTTTAATTTATCATAGTTTTTAAGTTGAAAACATGTAGTTTTACTGTGAAAGCAACCGCCGGCAATGACCATGACCATAATTGCACAGTTGACGAGTGTAAAAAAATTGTTGAGCCGAACCGAGTCTTTTAGGCCACATGCTAGGGCAACTGAAACACAACAAGTTCGTTAATTAAGTTATTAACATTCTTTTAATTAGTATCCTGAACAAATTTGGTTATTATATGGATTTCAAAAATAACATGTTATTAATATTTCTATTAACATAGATATTTGACCTTGAATAATCATAGCAATAAATAAGTAATAACAATTTTATTCCCTAAAATTATCCTAATGATAAAAAAAAAAAAAATGTTTACAATTCTTGTAAATCACTCGTATTATCTTGTAATTCATTCGCCAGTAAAATACAGTTTAAAAAAAAATAATTTTACGCAATCGTACATTGAAATAAAAAACGAGCAATATTAAAATATTTTCTATAAAATTCTTATTCGAATTGGTACGTCACATCATTATTATTAAACTATCGCCATAACTCCTAACCCAGTGGTAATGTTTCAGTCATGATTTATTCAAATAAAGACTATAAAAAATTATGTTTCTTTACAAATGATGAGGCCCCTCAATTTGAATGAGAAGCGTAGTGCTGATTATTTTTAACTTTTTTTAAATTATTTACAGAGTTTTAAAAATTCCTTAATTGTAGAGATTTAAATTAAGGAAAAAAAACCTATACATTTATTATGCATCAATATCATCATCAGCTTAACAGGTCTTTAAGGCCCAACGCTGCCATCATGAGATGATACATTTATTATGCATACTAAGTAATATTATATTAAGTACAGAGTTTAAGAAGATCATAACTTTTACCAAAGTATTATGAATTAATTCGAATTTGTACTTAAGTTCGACATTTCTGTGAAAAGAAACGTATAAAAACAGCTTGAGACGGCATATATATTATATACCTACATGGTACAGCAATTAAAAAGCAGTAACCGTGAATATCAAAAATATAAGATTAGAAACTATACTTTTAGAATGTGTACAAAGGTCAATTACTTGAAGTTTACTAAAAAAAAAAAAAAATTATTGTAACAGTAACTAACAAATAATAATTTTGTATTGCATAAATTATAAACGAAAATAACTGCTTAGGTATTATAAATTATTATGTAAGAAGGTTATTTAATAGCGTATAACGATAATTTTTTTTTTTTTATTATTACTATCTACTATGTACCTAAAAGGGGGAGAAAAAATTTAAGGCGAGTTCATTAATCGATAAACCAAATACCGATACAGACCTTTATGACTACTAATCATGTACCTATTTTAATAGTTTAAACCCTTTCAATTAAAACAAAATTGTATACCGTCTTAATTCTGGTAGCTCAATCCATATATATACAGAGTGATTATTTTATCCTGTGCCACTCAATATCTCATAGGGTTTAATAAGAAATAAACATAATGTGGTCTCAACTTTTCACAATGTTTTTTTGTTCTTACCCCCCCCCCTCCAAAATAAATTTGTTCCATAGCAACTTTTGAAACTTAAATGAAACGCATATATTTCATTAACTTTTTGAGCTGGGAATAATGTACTAAAAACGTTGACCGATTGATAACCAGTTTTGGACAACTATTTTTAAAGTTACAACAGTTTAAAAGTTAGGATGGGAGGGGAAGTGCTCGCAGACAAAAATAATACTACACTCTACCTTCCCTCCTGCCTTAACTTGAAACTTCAATAACTTCAAAAATAGTTATCGACCAGTCAACATTTTTAGTACATTATTCTCGATTTAAAAAGTTACATGAAATATATGCGTTACTATTTTAAATTCAAAAGTTGCTATCGAAAAAACTAAGTTGGGGGGGGGGGCGGTAAAAACCAAAAAAAATTTGAAAATTTTAGATCACATTGTATAAAAACAATATGAAAAATAATTAATTACTTATTAAACCCTGAGATATTGAGTGGCCTATGATAAAATAATCACCCTATATATATATATATATGTATGTAATGTGTATCAACCTCTATACGTGAAGACAGAGATGGATAGGACTATTAGTCCCGGATTACTGGATTATTCTTTAATTAATACAAGTAATCCAGGATTGCTTGGATTAAGAAAAATAATCCGTTATTCCAATTCGTCGGAATAATGGATTGCAATACAGATTACAATTAGTCTATCATGGATTACAAGTAATCCAAGTAATCTAGTATTACTTGGATTAAAATATACATATAATGCATATTTGAAGGCAAGTAATAACAGGCGGCCGTTAAATGTGTCCGTTACAATTGTGTGATTTTAGGAATAACGTATGTAATAATAATTATTATATTGTTATGCTGAATATTTTATACTATTACAATAATTAATTGGTGTACTCGGCCCTAGTAATTTAACAAAGCTCAATTTTATCTATCTTAAACAAATTTTTTATAATCCTATATAAATCCTAAAACTACACCTATAAACGAAATAAAGTAGAAGTTTCTACACCTTCTGAGAGAAAGGGTTAATGATATTTCCTCGGTTTCTACCTGTACATCGATAGTACATCTAAAAAATTTCCCGCGCAAGATTAAAGTAATTCGACTGTTTGTCAAAAAGTTGGAACGTGCCATAAATTTGAAAATTGAGAAAAAGCGTACATTTTTGAGTTTTTTTCTCGATTTGCGATACGTTTGTCATTCTTGGTCTTATAAAGTACCTTTAAGGCACAATTCCGGATTTCTAGAATTGCTACATGAAGAAATTGGTCCAGCGAATAAAATGTTATCGTGGGTCTAGACACAGTAAAATATTCTTGGCCCCGAATCGAAGTTAAAAACTCATATTTAAAAAGTATACAATTACTGCATTAAAAATTTAAATTTTGAAGTAAAATATTAACCTAAATACCATAATTTTTTTTAATGTCTACCAAAATTATATATATTTCATGTCACTCTTAAGTCTTACTTTAATGAGGAAAATCGATTTCGAATGATATACTTTTTATAATGCACAGTGCACACATATTGATACTTGACTGCCTAAGAATAATTGTGAAACATGAAAATAAAAAATCAGGGCAATTTACAAAGTTACAACTTATAATTATATAAAATAACAACTCTCTACTATACTGCTGCGCCACTTTACATAACGGTATGTATTTATCACTCCATATAATACCGTTTATTTGTTGATCTAGTTCTTATGATTATTACTTATTTCCGCAGATGGAAGTAAAAAAAAAAAAATAATAAACTGTTGTCACGACAACAAATTTCACAACTGGTTTGAGGTTTCTTATGTCAGAAAATAGAATTTCTCTGACGGATTAATTATTTTTATTGTACGTTTGGGTTTATACGAATGGACTTTTGAACTTAAAAATTAGACACAAATTGCATATTATACTAGTACACTGGTATAGGGTACTGGCAATAAAACAGTGTATAGTACCTAAAATAGGTACAAGGAGAACGTTATCGGTATGACGTACGGTATTACAACTAATTATACTTAATACAAAACTATCCCAAAATGAACGCTACACATACACACGTGCGACCGACGAGATCAGTGTAATTAATTTATCTATACCAACCGTTTTTCTTATCAATAATATACATTTTAACAAAATATGAATTTAATGCATAGCTATTTGCTATCGAAAAAAAAACACTTATGTAATGTTTTTAACTGCGACGCGTATAGTTGTTATGGTATTCGTGTACGTTTTGTTTCCATTTATTATTTTTTTTGTACCCACAATTAATTTTTAACGGCTGGACCGATTTTTTATACAAGTCTAAATCTATAGATCAGAAATCGTATCCGAAAGGTTCTTCATAACTCCAAATATGTATACAATTTAATAAGGTTTACTCTTTCCCATCAAAAACATCCCAAAAATATACACTTTATATATCAACTTAAAATTACGACCCCCATAACTATTAAAAAAACAGACGAATTTCTGATATTTTTTAAATATTAGTCATACATACACCTTCAGAAAAAAAAACAACAATATAATTTACCCGTTTCTCTAAAAGAAGTGATAATTATTTTTTCGATTTTTTTATTAGTAGTGTTTGGACTTATATCCAGGAAAACTTTAGTGTCCATGAAATTATTTTTATAGTTTTACCATCGAAGCGTTTGTTTGAATGAGATTTCATCACTTTCAGTTATTCATTTATCATTCCTGAACTCATCTAAAACAATAGTGTGTTTGTTTTCAAAGTAATAATAGATATACGTACCACTGCTGTGTGAATAGCGTGTTTCATCTATAACAAGTTAAAATGGCTAGAAAAGTGAGGCAGGTAGTGAATAACACAGTAGAGGACCTGCATGCAGATAACTTAAGGAGGGTGGGGCTTGCTCAGAAATCACTAATATGTATAATTATTATTAACGTGCCTCAGTGGTGGTTGGACTACAAATAAATTCTTGTTTACACGCTAAATACTGGAAAAAAATAGTTATTTTATAAGATCAATATTTTTACCAGTTTAAAAGTGAAACAACATAGCGACCACCATAACTTGACTTTTTCATCATCTCAATGTACTGCGTAATTTTAATGTTACAGATTATAATATGTATTAGACCTGCCTTCAGCTCGCGGGTACTAAAATTTGAAAGTAACAAAATTCTTCCACTCTATTGAGTGGGCGGGGTTTAGGTGTTAAGACAATTTAGTAAATACCATAAAATAATCGACAATCTGACAACTTTTGTTGTTTTACTCGTACAGGTAGAAAATTGTTGACGCTTTTTTAAATTATTTTGGTCTACTAGTACAAAACGGGTGTATTTCTAACCTGTGTGGTTGTATTATTAGAGTAAATTACTTGGACGAGTGAATTAAACGTTTTACCCGAAAACACAATAACGATGAACATGGCGAAGAAATCGAAGTATTCGGACAAGTACGGCAAGTCTAACACATAAATGCTTCTGAACGCGGTTTCCATCGTTTTGTTACATAGGGCATCTACGTACAGGCTTAGTCCTCTGGCTATGCTGGCCCCGCCTGTAAAACAGATACAGAAATAAAATCCATGAATTTTATTTTACTCGCATGAATGTAACAATAACAACAAGTTTTAAGCGGGAACAGTTCTCACGCCTTGTAAGAATGGTCCGCTTTCGATTTATGTATTTTCAGGGCCTGTATAGTAACCCTAAAATGTGTAAAAAGAAAAATGAAATTTTTAGAAACTGAAAATGTAAGCGTTTCTTCCATTAATTACTCGGAAGTACATATAAAAATAAATATTAATTATTCATACCATTTCTTAAGACAATTTAATTTGATGGTGTGAATATTTTTTCATTTATACATAAATTTATAAATAAACCCATATATACATTCTACAAGACATGAGAACTTTTCCGATAAAATATTTTTTCACCGCCAAAATATGGCTATAACTCTGATAATATACAAAATTAACGTAAAAATAATTTGTCATGACTAAAATGTATAAATATATTGTTTTCTTCAAATACTGCCTGTATTTTTGATAAATAGCAGAGATAAAACTAGATGGCTTCTTTTTTACAATTTTTTATCAGAACTACCAAAATACTAAATCGACCATCCTAATCCGATTGTCTTTATATTTCATTTTGTGTTTTCTCCTGTCTCGCTACCTCTCTCAAAATTATCTGTAAAGACTTGTATTTCTTTGGTTTTTTTAATGACTGACCATTATTTCTGTATATTTTATTTAACACTTGATCACAAAAAATTAAATTAGGTACTCAATATTAATTTAAACCTTAATTTACACATACTATTGAAGACTATAATAAATAATTTTAATAATCTTTACTCGACGAAGCTGAATTAATTACGTTACACACTGATCATTAATGAAATCAATTTTGCCCAACTCTGTTATCTAGTTATTTAATAAAAATCAAACATTTTTTAAAAGTAGGTTTCATTTCGAAATTTACCGCACTGGTTTGATCACTTGCCTATGGAGTATTCAAGTAAAAGGTTCCAACCCACAATGAATGCTGCCAATTCGCCTACTGCTATGTAAGCATACGAATAAGCTGATCCCGCTTTTGGCACTCTGCTGCTGAGTTCTGCATAACACAATCCTAGAAGTATACGAATAACATTATTCAATTAATTTTGATTACGTCTAAAATGCACAACATAATAATTTAATAAAAATGAAAAAGTAGTTTAACCATTCTCCTAATTTTAACCAAAAAAATAACTTTGCTGTTAGGTATTGGTTGTACAATATGTTTTCTTTTTGTGTCCGTAAACTTAGAAGGAAAGTTACTAATTAATAAAGTAAGCAATCGTCAGTGATAAATTTTAGGGTAAAATTCGAATAACGAAATCAAATAACGTGTATTAATAGAAGTATAATTTGTATTCGAAAATAAAATTATTTGAATAATAAATTAATAAATCAATCGCCTAGTTAATCATAGCAACGTGTTAGCGTGTAAATATAGACTTAACCTAACAATATTACATATAATTATTTTTCTAAACGATAAAATAGCATAACAGTTAAATAGATGTACACTTCAATACGTCAGCATAAATGTACAGATAATAATGTATTAATATTATTTTAACATAATATAACGCCTGGACAGGAAGCCAATAAGATTTGAAAAAAATGACACGCCGAATGTACCTATAAATCAATTAGAGATGTTTAGTAGCTGTTAATACTTCAGTCCAAACTATAATAATGATAAAATACAATAATAACAATATCTATGATTATGTGTCGCTAATCTTTTGTATGCTTGTTCAACTTTTGTTTTGTAGGTGTGCCGTCTTTAGCTTATGCGATAATAATGATACTTTTTATCTAATACTATTCCTCTTTAATGTTTACAAACATTTTAGCTTCGGTGAGGAGCAGAGAAGATTTTGTTTTTACAATAATGTGTTTTTTATTGCCCATGATATTAATTTAAAAACTCTTTACATCACCAAAAAAAAAAAATTAACCTATTATTCCTACCTACAGCCTACTGTTCAGCTTTTAAATTAAAAAACTTCGTCTAAAAAAATAATAAATATGTTCATCAATTTGTAATGATTTCTGGTAATTAGGTTACTTCGTTAAACATTTTTGATAAATTTTCTAAGAAGTTATATTTGGTCCGATAATTACATCTTTTAAAGACTAATTTTAGTACACTTAGAAGACTATTAACCGTTTTAAGTGATTAAGTGGCGCTAATTTTCCTATAGTTTTCTTCACTAAAACGATACAGGATATCTATTCGCTGTTCAAAAAGATTGTGAAAAAAAAAGAAAATAAACAAAAGTTTAAAGTTCAAAGTACGCACATTTTTTTTAATAACCATATTATTACAGGCAGTGTCGAATTGTAAAAATAAAAGTAGGATGAGGTTTTTACTTAAAAAAAAAAGAGCGTACAATTTCTGAATAAATAGTTTGAGTACTCGTTCCCTTCCCCTCCTCCCAATTCGAGCACTAATTACAGGTGTGAACATTCGTGTTTTAGTTTGTTTATAATATCAATATCATATTGTTTATCATTTAGTTCGCCGATACATTTAACAACAAATTATGTATAGCTTAAAAAATTATCAATGTCTTAGTTTTTATATCTTCAATAACGTAAATAATGTGTTTAATTTTTACTCCATAATAATATAATATGTATAACAACTACCAATTATGTTACAAATTATTTGTCCTTATCAAAAAGAGATACCACTATTCGTTTTAGTAATTTATTATTATATTTTTATTACTTTCTTTAATATTAATGTCCATCATAAGTTATACTATAAAAACGATATTGGTGCCTGAATGGTTCATAAACTAAAAGTCAGTAGTTATATCTCAACATCCTAAAAACAAAATCATATCCATATAATTTGTACTGAGTACCAATACGAATAAACTTTACATTTTTTTTTTGATTGGTGAATTCTGAACATTGACTGGATTATTATCAGTTTATTGAAAAAAATAGTAGTTGAGCAACAAGGAAGCTGGCATAAGAGCAAAATAAACAGCCACATCACCTTCAATTACTCTACCCGATAAAATCTTTATATTGTACTATCTACTATACTTTATATTTTACTATTCAAATGTAAACAAGGAAATACAAAACGTGGCAGACTAATTGGGACAGTACAGCGTGATCCATTTATCAACCATTTAAAATAAGAATTGTTTACTAAAAATCTTGACTCGTCGACCACCAGTTTCAAATTACTACTTTTAAAGTTAAAAATTTACGACGGGAGGAAGGGTGGAGTGTAGTATTAATTCTATCGACGTGTAACGATCAATAGCATCCCGTTCTAAATTTTAAACTTTTATATCTTTGAAAGTTATTATTCAAAACAAAAATTTTTTTTTAAAATAAAAACTACAATATTGCAATAATTTTAAGAGATATTGAGTGTCATACGTTATAAATGGATCAACCTAACCTGAAACCAACAAACTAAAACACATAATGAAAAAAACTAAATAAACAGTAAACAAATGGAACACATAAATGGGTTTAACCCGGCACCAACAATGCATCATGACGCGGACAAAAATAGGACACACCAGTCACGAAGGAACCCTAGCCAACGAGCCATTACTGCAGAACTACCATTATTATAATCAGGTACATACATATTACATATAGTCACGGAGTTCTCGATTTTGACCACCATCAATGTAGGAAGCATTGAAAAAATAATAGTAAATACAGTAACTTTAATTTATTTTTCAAATGTTAATCTTTCTAATGCGTTTTAATTACTTATTGTAAGTCGTCAGGAAACCACGGTACAAGCAACATCAAACCACAGCCCTAAAGATGGAATGTGCAAGTATTCCGAACCGCGGGCAGACAAGTCAAGCTACTTAAGTGGGAGTATCCGCAAGTTGTGTAAATATTTAACAACGCTTTTTTAGGTCTATTATTAGGACTTAAGGTCTGCAAATAAAAGTAATAAAATGTAGACCAACATTATAACATATTATTGTTTTTTTCAAAAATTTAAAAACAAACCCAAATTTAGATAACAAACACAATAATTCTCAAAAATTTCAGTATAGTTACCGTACAGCAATTTTTGTTAGTTTTTAATAATTTTATATAATAAACGTACATATAGGACAAAGGGCGATTAGTAATTACAATAACGTAAGGCGCTTTATTTTTTAGAAATATATATATATTTGAAGTTTTTATTTTTAGGGAAAATATGTTTACAATATTATAAATTTCCCAATCGACCAGTCAAAATTTTCAGTAGCTTAATGATACGATATTCCAATAATGAAGCTACTTTAATACAAATATCTTTAATTTATCGTTAATCGACACTAACTAGGTATATCTTATTCTGTATTGCTATTTTAATATTTTAGTAGACACTCATATTAAAATTATTAATGAAATAATAAATAATAAAAGAATTACTCTTGTGCGCCTGCCGCTGATGATAAAAAAATAATCACTATTACAGCCGCCCCGCCGATAATAGGTTAAATCGGCAAAAAAAACATAGGTGTAATAATAATTAATTTCAATTGAAAATAACATTTGTAGGTGTGTATTATTTATTTTACTCCAATACAAACCTAATAATCTATCGGTCGAATGACTGAAAGAAGTGTCACTTCATCCACGCAATTTTTTTAAGTGTGAATTTTACTTAGTTGCAAGCTTAAGATTACGTACATTTATACATTATTTTATGGTCATAATACAAAAACGCCTTACTTACATTTTCAGTATACATATAATTGTATTGTACCTCATAAAAAAATCATGGTGGTTATACGAACCGTAATGCTATAAGTTATAACATATCCATGATTCAATGTTTTTCCCGGGGAGTGGAGACAATAACACAACACTTTCTTTTATATTTACTTCCAGACTTGGATACGGTACTCGGTGTCGGATGTTACAATATAGACTTTAGATAAATTCGACTTACCGGCAAACACGGAGGCGATTGCCGCGATGAAGAAGGACACGACCACGGCAGGTCCCGACACGTACTTGGACAGGGCGCCGGGCAGAACGTATACGCCTACTCCAATGGTACTGCCCACACCCAACGCCGTCAGATCTGTGGTGGTCAGCACCCGGTCCAGCATGGACGTCTCCCGCACAACGCCCGCCACGGTCTTCTTCCTCTTGAGTTTTCCTCCGACCGCCATTGACTTTGCTGGTTACCGGGTATGTGGTCGACGTTACCAGTGCGGTACAACGGCGGCGGCAGTCTGATGTCGACGGCGCGCCAATATGTGACCGACAATGATTTTCCAATGGAAAATAATTACACGTTTTTATCGTAACTACGAGCTATTATTTTTATCAGAATGAACAAACAATGTTTGGTTTCGAATGTTGACGACAGCTCGTCACAAGCGCAACCGACGCACTCCCATCAGACACTGAATCTGAAATGGACGTCGGACCGCATACGATACGCTTATCTCGGCTATACCTACTCCGATAACATTCGGTGTGCAAGTAACACGTTTTTATGCTACATTTAACATTATTATTAGAATTAGCACCGGACCGGTTTACCGTAGTCAATATTAGATGTTAGGTGCCGAATTCGTAAAAACTGACTTGTGAAAACGTTATATCTCCATTTGTCTTGCGTAACATTTTTTGTCTACACAATGCAGTTTTTTGGGTTTACAGTGAAAACATCTATAGACTATAATGTAAATTACAGAGAACAACATTTGGAAGAATATGTTTTATAATGTTTTCAACAAATTTCCTAAAAAGTCATAACGGATTTAGAAAAGTAAAAAAAATGCGAATTGCGAAATTGAGTTATAAACAGTGAATAATATATCGAAAAAAGGATATTATTCTGGAAATTATCTCTAAAATTTCATCACTCATCCCTCATCATATTCGATTTGATAATAGATATTCTTGCTATCAAAATTCAAAACAAATATTTTAAATCATTTGTTTTAATAAAAATATATAAAATACGTTGTTAAAATTGACGTTGTGATGGCCTGATAAAAAATTAAATAGCAACAAAGAATCCTAATTACTATAATAATAAATTTACACAGTAAATGTTTGGAGAATAATTCAAATATTTTTGTCAAAACTTAATTCTGAGTATTTTTAAGAACGTAGGTACGGTTAGAAGTAGAAAAATATATTTTTGTACAAAATTAGAGGCAAGTTAGGTTACGCTGGTTACATGTATGCGTTATAAAAGTTTTAATGCTTTAATTATGTAAAAAAATTGGGTTTTAATATTATTTATATTGAACAAATTGCAAATTTTATTTATTTAATTACAATAAACTGAAATGTTGAAATGAAAATCGGCTTCCTACATAACATGGTAAATTAACCAAAAAACTCGAATCTTTTTACAGAACTGAAATTGGACCATGCTATGTAGTTGCAATTTTGTCAGTCGTTTTAAATTAACCAAAATAGCTTTTACTCATAGAAATAATTTTTTAAACTTAAAATAATACCTTGTAGCTTTTACAAATTAACCAGCAAATTAATTATCATGATTGACATTTATTAAAACCTCTTTTTTTCTTAAATATAGCCTACACAAAACTCCTTAAAAACAGACCACATGCAATCCCGTTAAGTTTTTAGAGAAAAAATGCTTATAAAAAGTGCCTTAATAAATAGTTAATAACGTCCTCTTAAATGATCATTTTGTAAATAAATAAATATTGAATTAGTATTATATATATTATATGAATTACATTAATGTACAATACCTACAACTGTATATAATAACTTAAATAATCAATGGTTTGAGATCAGTAGAACTAATTTAAATTTAGTACAGAGAAGCGTTCTTAAAACTAAAATTATTGTTTACGGTCGCTTAAAGTAATGCAAGTATGAAGTATATTACTTTTAACTAACAAGCTCTGCTTTAAAAAAAAAAAGTATTTTATATTTTTTGAACAATATATATGTATGCATATGGCGTATTGACCGGGAGTAGTTATGGCTAACTTTATGCCAGTTCGGTCGTCGGGTGCATGCATTTCAGCCACGCATCCGGGGTTGATAGTGTGGGTCGCCGCTAAAAATCCCGGGTGATCACCCATCCGGCGTCAAGCAGCAACGGACACAGCTTAACCTCAAGTGCCGTGCGGCACCTGAGATGTCCACTGCGCCTCACCTCCCGGTTTTTTTGAACAATAATAGAATAATAATATTTAATCAACTTAATTTTTTTTTTTTGTAGTTACAATTAGGTATGCGAATGCAAATGACTGGGATCCGGGTCAAATTCTGCATAAACAAAACATTGATTACGTTATGTTTTTGTATTAATTTTTGCACGTACTAATACAAATATGAAAAACAATATAACATAATAAACTATTACGTGTTAGGTGTTTATCTCATATTTTTATTGTTATTTATTGTAATGTTATTTGTTGTATTGTATTTATTATTTGTCATATTGTTATTTGTATTTTTATGTTTTTGTACATTTTTTTGGTATTAATTTTTATTAATTGTGTAAATTTGTATTTATTATATTTATTTAAACATAATTTTCCCAGTTGATTTACCAAATTTGAATACCCTTCATACTGAGGCTTTTAAATTTCATACAAATATTCAAGAGAATGAGCTTATCGCATGGTCCTTTCACAATTATTCGAAAACACTTTATAAGACACTTTATTAGACCTATACCTTCTGTCTAATTCATAGTCTATAAATTCTAAAATCGTAACTACAAAAGTAAACAAAATAAACACCCACATACCATACAACAAGGGGGGGGCCCTTTGTGGCGGGTATGGGGTACAAATTACAATTGTCGAAATTTAGGTTTATCTAATTGTCGATAGCGGCATGTATAAAAGTTGCCGTAATACTTTGTCAGTTTCACATCGAAGCTAAGATGCAATTACACGTTTTCACAATCATGGGGAGGGGGGGGGGTGCCGGATGAGTGCACTGCAATATTAACTAAAAAGAATCCGCGAGAACGTGTAGAAAAATCTTAAAGGACGGTCAAAAAGATGTACCCCCCCCCCTCCTCAAATTGCGCATCTGGAAGGAGTCAATTATTATTATTTATGAAATGGCTATAAAATCGTCCTTTCCCTCCTCGCTTCGGTAGTCTTGTGTAAGCCAATTCTGACGGTTTACATTTGAGACCTTGAACCGATCTATCGAATGACACTATAAGTACAACGGTATTCGACTACGGGACAGGGGCGCACCGGAAAAGCTTTCAGTAACTATCCCAGGACCGTCTGATGAAATGTACATTTTTTAATTTATCAAGTTGTAGTTGGGACACTCGCGGCAACATTTAATTTGCATACCCACTTTGTTTAGCAATTAAGATAAACTACTGTGCTATTGGCCGAGTTTAGTTAAACATAAGGTAAGTGATGAATTGTGATTTACTAAATAAATGTGTTTTCAATATGAAAAATGTTATACTGTGTGTTACATTTAATTACAATAATTCTGTGGTGCTCAGATAAAAGATGTCAATTTAAAAATGAATAGGTAGAAAACTTAATTTATTAATCTCCCTATACCCAAAACAAGCTATTTAACACGATTTATGCAAGTTTTCGACTCCATTGGCAGTTGTGAGTACAAACATTACAAGAGACAAGCAAAGTGTATCACAAGTTTATTACACGTCTTTAAAAAATATCAAAACAAATAATTGATAAAAAGTCATTAAATAAGTAAAACTATTATTACATAATGAAATACTTGTGTAAAAAAAAAAAAAAAATGACTAATTATTAAAATTTTCTTTAGTTAATTTGCACAAATGCTTAAGAAATAATAGTACATTAAAGATACTAATAATAAATAAACATTGAGCAAAATTGCAAGCAAAAAATAAATAGATAAACATTAAAATAAATTAAAAATAAACAGAATATAAGATTTACTATGAATGTATTTAATATCAATATCAAGTTAAACATAAACTGATATTGAAAAGGTACATACAAATATAAAGCAAAATATTGTAATGAGACATAAACAACTCCATAAAGCTGAATAATTGAAAAAAAAATCATTGAAGTTCATAATGGTTTTATATAAATATAAAACTATGATATAATATTATATTAGGACTAGTTATAAGAAATTATTTATCTAAAATAATTGTATGTATTCAAATAGGAAAAAGTAAATATAATTATTTAAATAAAATTATTTTTATTTATTAAGTAGGTAGGTATGTATTATATTGATGCTATGACCTATTGGCAAGATATTAGTTTAAATTAATTAAAAATATCAATTGTTATCATTATTATACTTTATAAAATAGGCACTGATACATACAGTTAAAAAATAAAAAATAAGATAAAGTATACAGTTGAAAACTATACATTCAATTAAAAAAAAAAATTGAATTAAATAGAAATGAGTTCCATAGCACCATTCGAATGCAAACGGTTTTTATTCACAAGAATAGCTTCTTAAAAAAAATATATTTTACTAATAAAATAAAAGTAATGAAAAGATATATTTCTTAGAATATTGTAATTTACTAAAAGATTTAATTGTTTGGTAAAATTGTTTAGGTTTACTGATTTTGTCTATTATATATGCAAGTTGTCGGTATTATACAAATACCAAAAAGTTTTAAGTATACTTGTATACATAAAAAATATATATTTTATTAATTACTGACTGATGCAGTTATATCGATCAGTAATTATATAAATATGTAATTACAATCAATGAACTAATCAGAAATTAACCACAATTATACGTCTTGAATGGGGGGTTTTGTTTTGTCGTTTTCTAAATCTTGAGTGGTGGTCAAGTTACTCCACCAGTTTGTAACGGCCCCTCTAGCTTGTGATATAGCACCGCCTGACAAAAAAAAAAACCTAATCAATCATCAAATGTTGATATTTAAAACTCATATAAAGTACATACCGACTACTTTGCCCGTAGACGCAACAGCCCTGCTAGTATTCTGAACGGCTTGATTCAACTTTCTACCGCTTTCACTACTTTGCATTGTGCTACTCGTAACAGTTAAATAAAACATAAGTAAAAAAAATTAAGTATTTGTTGATAAAAATATAATTACTGTGATATTCTAAGCTTCATATCCGATACGGACAATTGGCCTGCAAATGGATGACAAGGTTCAAGTGCCATTATCGCTTGGTGGTCTTGATTCAACCACGTTTGGTAACTTTTTGTGTGTTGCCAAGCGGACATGAATGACGGATTAAAATGATTCAGTTCAGGAGCTCCTTCTGTAATAACGTCGTTGACAAATAATAAGATCAGATCTATGCATTTTATAAAATGAATATTTAAAAATCTGACCACTTAATAGTGAAGTTCTTAACAACGATAATAAATAAGCTTTAAACTGAGCTCTAATCCATTCGTCACCGCCTTCCCAACCCACACCATCGAGGAAAACGTCTTCTTTTTCTGGCTGTACAACATGTCTTACTAAGTAATCGGCGAAACGTAGATCTTCCGTTGTTAAATGTAAGTGCCTTTTGAGATCTACATTTTCTATTTCTACTTTACCTTCGTCAACCTATAATATTAAATATTTACACAATAAGGAAAGTGTATAAAATATCATGTGTATATTAGGGTGGTTCAAAAGAAAATGGTTGACGGATAAATGATATATTCTATAAAAATATATATTTTTCAAGAGCAATTCAAATTAAAAACCAATGAGCTGTACAGTCTTAGTAATTTCTATGTTTTTATTGTTCGTGTGTACATAAAAAAATGTGTCTTTATCTATAAATTGTAGACTTATGTTAAAAAAATGAAAAAGTTTTGTACTTTTTTTAGTGATAAAATCCGATATTTTTTTTTGTAAAATGGTACTTTTTTCTACACTGATATATCGAGAAGGATCATCCGAGAATCAAATAGCGCTAATCCACAAAGTATTTCGCTTAAATACCACAAATGCCTAGAAAATTGTTTATATGTTATTTCAGCGATATTGCGATTAATAATTGTGTAATGAAGTTAAAAAAAAGAAACTTTTGATATAAAATCAACACGAATCACATCTAGGAATGGGTTTAAAAATCTAAAAAAAATATCAAAAATTATCTTTACATCCAAATAACATATTCTCAAGAGAAGAACAAAAAATTATAAAAAAATTTTTTTGAACCACCCTAGTAAATATATTCTTTAGTAACGATGTGATAACTAGAAGGTAATGGTTTTTTGTTTTTTTATTAATTAGTAAAAAAAAGTTTTGCATACATGTTAAAGTAAAAAACAAAAGCTCTAGATGCGTGTCGCAAATTTTTTTTTTTCAGTATAAAAAACTGACTTAATTTTTTGTTGTATAACAATTCTAACTCGCTCAAAATCCATAAAATCGGCTTTTTTTAAGCGGTTAAACCTTCATTTTTGTTTCTTTGTTGATAAATATACATTATTTGTAAAGCAAATTAATTATCAAATATAAGAAATGTCATCCCTATGTTACCTCAACGATGACATCAGCTAAATTCTTCTTTTGTTTAAATAATATATTTGATGCACCAATCATATAACCTCTAACACTGGGATCCGTTAGAATGTCCATGTAGGAGAGGCAAGAATACGGCTGACAAATATTACCCTGTACAATTGAGAATGATTTTATTAAATTTTACTTTAAAGAAAAAAAAAAAAGAGTATATCTTGTTTTGGACATACATTATCAAATATTGACAAAGGAACTGCACAATCGGCTGAATTTATCTGAGCGATACTCATCATGTTGTACTGCATGGCGGCTTCATTCAACGAATCGATACTAGGGTCTCTAGGAATGTTGCAAGCAAAACTACTTACATGTACCATATCGTCGTCTATGGTATCACTACTCAGTAATATATTTTCAGAGACAGAAGTATTTGGAATATTATTCTTTTGCAGTTTGGACGACACGATAGGAATAACAACCTCTTCTTGTTCTACAGAAAACACTACAGCTGTAGAATGTGTAGGCCTAAACAAGTATTCAGTAAACTATTTTAGAGAAAATGTATAATAAAATCAGTGGTATAGTCTCTTAAGGCGCCTCCCATGACATGTGGCTCGGCAAGCTATGAGTCGATCGGACCTTAAACACGTTGTGGGAAATTCTTGGCGCCGCGCGGCTTGTGGCGATTCGAAAATTGTCAGTAAATCGGGCCCGAGTCAAAGGAGAACGTGCAACGCCACACAGGCGATTTCTTGGCTCGCCAAGCCACGCGCCATGGGAAAGCTAAAATTTGTGTTGCACCGAGCTTGACGTCACTTGGGATGCCACCTTTATAGGGTATACCCTAATGACTATACCACTGAATAAAACACAGTTAATAAAAATGATTTATAATCACTTGACGGTAGCAGATTTTTTGAGACCATTTTCAACGAGTCCGGGATGCAGTGATAACAACGTAAGTATTGTAGAACATAGTGGACGAACGGGAGAATAAAAAAACAAAACTTTACGTTCCAGCAACATTAATTTGAACAACAAAACGACTTTGTGCCTGAACTTCGTGACTAGTTCAACGGCAGATAGACCTGTAAAAATAGTAACTCAATTAAGCATATTTACAAACAAAATGGTGAAATTTAAACGTCATAATTATGTTTACATACCAACAAACAGATGAGGACTGGTACTGATGTTTTCAATGCTCGACAAACAAGCATTGAGATGGTGGTAAGTATCATGTAAAAGTGTTATTTTACTAAAATCTCCCTCTTCAAAATATGCGTGGGTGATTAAGGACATTTTCACTTGAATGTGACCATACAAGGGTAACGTGCTGAGCACGCACACTGATTTTTGAATTGTACTCCTCGTCATATCAGGAGTGCGATTGATAATTTTCTAAACAAAAAAAAAAATCTCACAAGTGAAATTTTCTTAAGTAATTAAGATTCTTTACATTTTAAAATGTGTACACAAATTTGTATTTAATAAAAACATGTTTTGTTAGTTTTTTAAATTATTTAAAATATTATTAAATTATAATTTTAAACCAGTATTGTTGGCAGACAGTGACAAACTAGTCTGAATAGATGACTGATCATCGAAGCTTATTTGTATGTAAAGATTCTATTGAATTCAATTCTAACTGTTGATGAAAAATAATTATAGATTCATTTGCATTTACCTCTAATGGGATTTGCCGGTAGCACGATATGCCGTATATGGTTTCATTAGGGTTTTGTAAGCTCGGCAAATGAAAGTAAGCTGTGTCTTCATCGAAATTATGAGATCCGTCAGGTAACGCTTGACAAGGCAAATGTTTCCACTCTATCGGGCATTCGTTAGGCTCACCGGCTTCATTGTTCTTGAATGGTGGATAAGCATATTCGACCTGAAGTTTAAAAAAAAAACAAAATTAATATTAGGTCATAATTTATAGCCTTAAATTCTTAATTTCAGCATTTAAAAAACACTACGAGACGGTAAAATAAAATGCAAAAAAATGGTGCCAGGCAATATACATTTATATCCTATGCATATGTTCTAATACTAAGTTTTAAGAAAAGACAAGAGATTAAACAAACACTACAATTATTTGAACTGCCTTTTTTTAAATCGATAGAGCACAATAAAAATAATAAACTTAGCAAATAAATAGATAGACAATAGGTAACTGTTTTGTTACTCGGTGTGCTTACTTGACATCCTTTTTTGTGATGAAATCCGATAACCAAGACGTGCAGAATGGGATTTTCTGAATTTTTTTCGGACATTATTCGAAATTAAAAAACGCCGATACTTTTACCCATTGTATTTGAAGTGATGGACAAAAAATTACAGCCGGTCGATTGCAGTTGACACTTGGATGTTTAAGGTCATTTAACTAGATTAATAATCATCTATATTAATAATATTCACCTTTCGAAAGAATTTTAAATTTTCGATAATATTGAGTGAAAAAAAAAGATCCCTTGAAGAAAAACAACCGAATATTATTGATTCGATTTTGATAAGAACATAAAAGTTTTGATAATGAAACAAAAAAAACGTAAATACAAGACTAAACGCATGCGCAGTACACACATTTGCGGCAAACGACTACAATAATTATTATTAAAAATTATTCACAAAGGTATTCGTTTAGACTTTATATGGTATATTGAGATAAAAAAAAGTATCAAGTAATTGTGTTGAGATAATAATAGGAGTTTCCCTTCGACAGTACAATAAAAGTAACTGTACACTATAGTCTATACTATGTGTAAGGATAACAATATTATTATTATTCGTTTACATAAAAATACACACAGGGATATTTTTCTCCTTTTTTTTTTTTTTTACATCGATAAACAAAATATTTTGTCTTGCCAAGTATTTAGAGTGGAATAGTGCTAATGTAGGTATGTGTTAATAAATCTGTTCAGTAGAATAACTGAAAATAATAATGAAAAATAGTAAAATATTATATACCTAATAGGGAGTTATTTGAGGAAATATTGAATTTGTACAGTTATCGATAGTTCCAGATAATGCTAATCATATTACAAACCATGTCAAATTGTCGATAAGCTGTTCACAATTTTACTGTTTTTTTTTTATCGCGTATTGTAATGCTTACGCATAAACGAACACACGGTGATATTGATATTAGAAGATATTATTAACTATAAAATGTAATAACCATAATATAGTAAATACCGTATTATATAGGTTATGTTATATTAGTTACTACCACTTAAGCAACAGTTTAAAAAAAAAAAATATTAATGTACTCTAATTCTGTGGTGCTCGGGTAAAAGGTCTAAGTCCAAAATAACTAATTTCGCAAACAAATCATTATTTCTTAGACAATTAGCACTTTACCCCATTTTCGAAATTAATGGACTTAACGCCTATTACCCGCGCACCACAGAATTAGTAAAAATGCATAAAAGCAAATTTAGACATTTTTTTCAAATGACTAATACGAAGTATTAAATTAGACAATTATTAGATTTTTGAAGTATATTTTTATTTGACAGTTTCAAATCGACGAAAAAAAAATAAAAATAATAAACTTGACAAGTTAAGTAGATAGACATTGGTAACTGGCCTGTTACTTGGTAAGCTTACTTGACATCCTTTAGTATGATGAAACCCGACGAGCAAGACGTATAGAATAGGATTTTCTGACTTTGTTCGGGACATTATTATAAATTAAAAAACGTCGATAGGTACGTTTTATCTATGCATTTAAAGTGATGGACAATATTTACATCCGGTTGATTGCAACTTGCAATTCATACTTGGATGTTTAATGCCTAAACTAGATTATCATTCATACGTGTCAGAAAACATTAGAAATGTTTCATGTTTCTTCAACTATTTTATCAAAATAAAAATACGGGATAATAATTAGACAATTTTTTTATATTTAAAATAAATTTTATCGCATCAAATGACATTTTTTAAATGACATTTTTATTTCACTTTTTAAAATTTCTATAAAATAGGAAGATAAATATCAGCCCAGTTATAAAATTATATTTTATACATTTAGTTGCGATTTTTGGTATTTATATTTTTTCATATACTCGTCTATATAACTTTTAATAAATAGTAACTTGTAGGTTTTTTTTTTTTAACATTTGTTCATTTTTGTATGTTTTTTTCAATAAAATACACTTTTCATTTGTGTAGTAAAAATGTTCAGTAAATTATTCTCAACTTAAAAAGTTTATAAAATACTTTTAATTTGTTAAAAAACGCACTAATTTTATTGAGGAAACCCCAAAAAACAAATAACAATTATTACAAACACACTTTTTAATTGGATTTTACCATCTATAGTTTTGCATCAAGAGTTCATGGGACTTTAATCTTTATTATTATTTAGTTTTTTGTTTGTATAATTATATAAATAATTTCAGGTTTGCATAGGATGCATGATGCCTAGCTATTAATGTTTGCCTATTATTTTCATTATATTTGGTGCATTAAACTCCCTAAAAATAACAACCGGTAGCCCTTGTAAATGATTCTTAAGATTTGTTAAACATTTGGTAGTGAAAGTCGAAAATACAATTACTCGCCCATACATACATTTTATCGACTAAAAATAAATGTGTAATGTCGACTAAGACTAACTAAAGTAGCAGGTGAGCGTTTTATATACCAGGGCTAATTATCACTCCATTATTCAGCCCAATCTAAAAGAAATTATCACATTATTGTTCAAAGAAAGTGTATTTGAACACAAACTAAAAGTAAAATTCCTAAATTAGTAGAATATCTCTGAAGTGACCCAAAATTCAAATTTTATTTAAAAAAAAAAAAAGTTCTCCCTTGTGAATGAACAGTGTGCCTTTTTTATACAGGATGTTCACCAAAAGATTGCCCCCAAGTTCTGTTATTCAAATTTCGTGTAACCAACCAATGAGTGTTCAGTTCTGGAAAATTATACAAGTGCGTGTGAATGTGTCCCTTGAGATTTTTAACGTTTTCCTGGAGTCTTTATAAGACCCCTGGGTAGTGTATATAAGTTTAGGGACGCGGAGTCCATTTTAAAAATATTGATATTTCTTTAGCTTTTGCTTTAAGTATATGTGTTTTTTAACGCCAATCGACGGTAGTACATTTTATACGCATATTGGTGACTTATTATACTTGAAATGTATGCTCGGCAATACCCACGACGACGGGTTAATAGGCATAGGTAGTTATGATAAAAGCTCTATGATGAAAATGTACTCTTTTGATACATTTCAATCGGTTACTTGCATTGGCACTAATTTTGATTTTTAGCTACATCATTTATTATATCGAATACAAAGAAAGTAAAATATTATCTTGTAAGTACAAAAAAAAAAATACAACATTAATAATATTCTATGTAAGTTGATATTTTATTTATGCATTACGACTTGTGAGTACTTACGTGATATTAGTAATCAAAACTGAAAACTGTATTGCCCTAAACAGCAGACATAAGCTAAATTGAATGAATTGTTCAAAAGTAAGTATCTGGTTACTGAGTACTGACACGGCTTGATTGTATTATAAATTGATCAAAAGCGAAAAAGGTAATTTAACTGACATTTTTATACGCTTCGATAAAACAAGTAATACATATACATTGTTGCAAAAAAAAAATATGTACATAGAAATCTTGATCGATTGTAATAATTTTCCAGCAGCCGTGTACTCGGTAAGTCTGAACTATTAAAAAAAAAACGTATTCTTAATTAATCAAATTTTATTTATTCCGTTTAATCGCTCATTTACAACCGAAAGATTAACCGAGATATCGCAGACTGAGTTTATGAGATGTGTCGAAACGGGTTTAAATTAAATCACTTATATTCTTGGAAAACTGAAAATCCGCCGTAGCGCTGTTGTTTCCTTTAAATATTTTGAATTTATTAAGTTAAAAAGGCCTAACATTTTTATGTAAAAACATTGTCACGCAGATAGGCGTTTATAGATTTTTTTGGTAGTTTTAGAGTTGAAAAAACTCTCGGCAAACGTAAAAAATATATTTCAAAAAGCTGTACGTTAGCGGATTTCCAAAATTGTACTAATTAGTAATGCAGTTATGACTATTTAAAAATATATAAAAAGTAAGTTTTTGTTAGTGCCATTTAAAAAAAAATAACCTTTTAACCTATCGAAAATTCGCCAACGTCCGCCCTAGGAAATATTATATTTTATTAATTTAATAATATATTTTGATTGTTTTTTTGTGCTAAAGCCGCCACGAACCAAGTAACAATATGGTTTTGAGTAGCTATGTTTAGGTTTAGTAAAATATTTGAAAAAATTATTTTGGCTACTGTTATATTATATTATATTATTATGTGTTTATAGGATCGAGCGTTGACGGTAATTATATTTATGTCAAATATGAGATAGGTAGGACATTGAATCATTTTATTAGTGAGCTGGTGTCAAGTGTACATAAAAAGTTGCTGCCATAAACCAACAGTGACATTCTTTTGTATATGAACTCGTTAACATTATCTGACTGATGAACCGATGTATCCGGTATGACGACTGAATAATAACAATAATTGTTGGGATGACAGCATTTCAATAACCTACATGGCAGCATTTCCAATTAAAAAATATTTGTATTTTATAATTTGTTTATTTTGAAATTGGTATCAGTATTAATGTATAATTATTTTCTTATTTCAAAAGCGTTTAAAAATATATTTCAAGTATTTAAAATACATATTTATAATTTAGTAAGATTCAATTGTAATTCGTCGCACCGGTGATTTTCAGTGGTAAAAACATGTTTAAACAGACTGAAAATAACTCGCCTAATTTTGGTTTTAGAGTAAAAAGCACTCATTAAAAAATTAAAAGAGAACAATATTCCGGAGGGCAAGACGGTGCAAAATCATTTTTTTAAAGGTTACAGTCATTTAAAAATGTTAAAATAGTCGTTATTTCTAATTCCCTTTAAGAGGGCGGTGTTAGAAAAACCAGTATTTATGAAGATATGTTGACAATATGAGATACATTCAAATTACGAATAAAATTGATCGTAATTCGTTGTGTTAATTTTACATAGGGAATAACCCAGGGGCCAGGTCTAACTGGTGAACGCAGACGGTTTAGTTAGAAAAAAGTATTCCACTTTTAAGTCTCAAAGTGACTTTGAAATTAAACGTATTGTTTGAATTTGCATTTAAATTTTTCATTCTAAAAGTACTTAATGTAATCGTGAATGCATTAGATGCAGTGACGGTTTTAGCATATATTTTTGACTGAGGTGACAAAATATTAATTACGCCCATATTTACTACCAACCTGGTCTACTCTGTTTTAGCAGCTCATTTTTATCATAACCATTCCAACGTAGAAATAGGATTTATAATGGATGCATAGTTACAATTTTCGTATTTAGTATTAACAAGTTGACTGGTATGAGAACCGTACTTGGTACTCATATGCATTAGGTTACAATTAGCAGTCGGCAGTCAATTTGTTGAATACTTAATTGAAATAAAAAAACACCGTACAGTCAAATTATTTTTTCACTTTTCTCATGATCGGCGGGAGTCACGGAGTTATTAACCCTTCGTTAGTGTGGTCGCCGAAATTTTTTTAATAATCTTATGTCACAGGTTTGTTCATAAACTCACTTGCACCACGGGGGTTTAATAAACCTCAACACACTAACGGAGGGTTAAGTACTGAAGTATCTGTGAAAAAATATACATTAAGAACAACTTCTTAACGAGAGTTTTAAAATTTAAATCTATATTTTTCATTAGATGGATATACTCATTGTGTAATTTTATATTAAATTATAAAAATACAAATAAAAGTGCATACGGTAGTGTATTTAATTTGTTTAAATAGCTTAAAAACAATCATGAATAAACAACTTTAGCGGTTGGGCGTTGGTTAACTGTTTAGCCGGGGAGACTGTTGATAGACGTATCGAGTGGACCCCTTGTTACGGTTGGAATCCGACGATGACGGATGGTCGACCGGCAGGTTATAGTTTTTGCAATTTTTTTTATTATTTTCAAAAATTTTCGAAAATAATTTAAAAAAATCGTGTAAATATTTTACCTGTAATTTTGATCGACATACCCAATCAATTTACCATGCGAAAATGTTACTGAAACGCACGGCCAAATTGTGTCGATGGTATTGGCCACAGCCAGTTATGAGTTATGACGTACTGACGCGACGTTCCAATAATTATGGTAAGTACAATAATATTGTTACACTTGTCGGTGATCGATAGTGGTAACGGTACTGTTGGCTGCATTGCGGTTTATCAACCGGGGTTATCGCCTGGCAGTCCACCAGGTGCCGCCGCCGTCATGTTTTCATGCTGTATGTTGTGTTTGTGTGTGTGTGTGTGTGTATACGATCCCTTATGTCCCTTCCGCTCTTTATCGTAAACAAAATTATCGGTTTTTTTCCAGCCCCTCGAACTCAACTGTCTACAGTATCTACACAGTACACAGCCGTCGATAATTATTGTCCAATAATACTGACATTGCCGTTTGGACGTCCGACGTTTCTTTTCCATTTCAGCCAACAGTTCTGGCTGAACGTGCCCGAGTCGAGTCCAAGGGACTGAGGTAAGAGTTACTCCTTTTTATTGTGTGCGCACACCCCCTACCGCATGCCGATGAACCCCTTGCACTGGCAGCCGGAGGGGTGGCAAAAAGACGGCTAAATAGTGTTCACCGTGTACCGCTTATTGATTTTCACTTGTCTCCGTGACATTTCGGATTTTTCCAAAAGGCTTTTACACGTTTTCCAATGCTGAACGTTTGCCCAACAACTGTTTAACCCCCGAAAATCCAAAAATTCCACCAGGGGCGAGGCTGATAACACAGGGTTTTGGGACCTTTGGCCATCAGTGCTATAGTTTTGCTTCACTTTCAACACAGGTGCTGCACTATCATCACAATTGTACATGTTAGATTATAACAACCCTTTGCCTATACCTTTACTTAGTGATGTTCAAATCTTAGCTTATCAATCCCACAGTCTAATAACATAATTAATTATTTGTCATCTAAGGATTTGCACGGCATCAAAAGAAAATGTTTGTATTATGCAGTGTTCTGTCTTATTTAATAAATATTACATGCAAAGCCGTTTCACAATTTCTATCTTTTCCGGTTTTTCTAATTTATTCAGTATATATTGCTACCCGAACTCAAACATTTTTATTGTAAATATCTAGTGTAATATCTGGTCGGGACAATCTCAAGTAATAAATCCGTTTTGGTATTTGTTAAACGATAAGTCTATATTGTTGAACTAATTCAATTTTAATTTCATGTTTGATACATTACATTCAGATTTAGAATATACACTTATGATATTATACTTTAACAGGCAATTATATTTTTGTTTAAAGTAAAGTTTTATATTTTAATGTCGTCTGAAATCTAGCTTTATTTAGGTACATTTTTTTTGTTTTTTAACTATTAACAATTATTATTTGGATTTTAATTTCATTGTTTAATAATTAATATTGTATTTTATAAACTATTATGCGTTACTTATCTTTAATGTTCAATTATTTTTAATTTAGCTATTAAACGGTAATTAATTTAACTAACAATATTTAAATAGTACTGTTCAAACACATACCTAAATTGTGTTTATTAATTTGAAGTAATTTGTTTATACAATCAATTTTGAAGATGAGAAGTAATTTTTTAAGCATAATTAAATGGTTTATTAATGAAATCTTGGCTTACTGACTTAATTAAACCACCCTTTTTTGGATGGATATAAATATCTTTTAAAGTGAATTACACCTAGTTAATAAACTTTTGGGTTAGGGCATTATAAAAAATTACTTTTTCAAATATTTGATAGTTATTTAATAACTGCTGAACTTTCGTTGGCTATTAAATTAACAAAATATTTTGTTTATTATTTGTAGTTTGTCTTAATTTAATAAGAAAATTATTTTTCTTTTTGTTTCAGATGTCTTAAACTATTCATACATTAAGGTTCTATTCAATTGTTAACGAACGGTTCATCATACGGTAAGCATAAGTTGTGGTTTATTATAAAAAACAATTCATTGTAATTTAATTGAACCTAAAGGAGCAAACCATACACGATTTTAAAACTAAAAGTGACTAATTAACAAAACAAATGTTTAAATCCTTTTTGGCAATATTTGCATACTAAGTGTCACTCGAGGTATGTTTAGCTTGTCTAAAAATGTAGATGTCAGCTTAACTGAGATAATATTCTATTACAAATATTTTATAAAACAAAACAAATATAGCTTATAAGAATATAATTTTATAATGCTGTTGACGCAACATAAAAAAAAAAAACTAAACAACATGTAGGTTATGTTAAATTGTTAACGTAATACTATTAGTAAACTTGTATTGTAAAACGTTTCATAATAGACATTTAGTAAATATATTTTTATAAATTATTGAAAAAAAAAAAAGTTAATTGTTTTTAATTTAAAACGAGATTATATTTAAAATTAAATATTATATCAATGATGATCAAATTACTGGTTTTTAATGCTTGTTGAGATGGCTTGTTTTTGTTATTCTGTCAAATTCTCACATTTATCGTCCTTTGCTGGTTCTTAACTGAAACAATAACAATTGTTGAGTGGGTTGACACAGTAATAAACTACAATACAATCTGTTATATTACAAGCTCTGTAATTAACACAATTAATGACAGTGCGTTGTTGTTATATGGAAACATAAGCAAGAAAAGCATAATTTATTAACTTTTCTGGGTAGCGTAAAGTAGTGTAAAGTAATCATTTCTTTCATATTTGTCTCTGTCCCGTCACATTTTGATTTCCTTAAGTTTTTATTTTGTAGTTGGCTTTTAAACCAGCAGAGGGCAGCACCCAATTGAAATTGTACTCACGCTGTTGTATTACAATTCGATATATTATTATTTTTTATACAATAATTATGTTAAATGTGACATACCTATTTTTGACAAGACGTCCAAATTTAAATATATTTATCGGTAAAAATTAAATTGATAGGTTTGATATTATAATTTTTGATAGTTTTTTTTATCGAGTTTTACAAATATTTCATGTCCAAACATAATTTTAATGATCTAATTGAAAAAATAATTTTAAAACGACATTAATATATTAATAGTTATTATTAGTTATTAGTAATTATTAATAGTTAATAAAATATAGATTTCAATATACTTTTATTAATTTGTTTAGTTACATAAATGTAATAGGTAAATACTATTTTTTGTGATAAATTCAAATCGACATTGTTTATTTTATTACTCTTTTAAACATTCCCTAAAATAATTAATTAGATGTCACAAAAAAAAATGTGTAATTTATAAGTACATACACAATAACACTACTTGGATAATATTATGTATGTAAGTATAAGTATGTATGTTTAAGTTCAGGTTATCATTATTTTATTTTAATTTTGATTCATATGCCGTAAATGTTGTAATCACAAATGAGTCAAATTTAAACATTCATTTTTTTTTTATAAAAAAAAGTTAGTATACTATTTAACCACATCACATTAACATCACTCGACTAAAAGACTTCAGTTTAAGTAAAAAATATTTTATTAAAAAATGTACATGCATTTGGCATTTGTTTACAGTTTACCTCTCATGAACTAAATTATTTTTGTGCCTTTCGCATTGTATATTATGATTCTCAACAAAGCTACAGTGCATTTTAAACAAACGTGACCTGAACTTAACAGGTAGATTGCAGTGCCTTTGATGTGAAGTCTCAATTGTTGTGAAAAAACCGTAGTTTTGCATTGTCTGATATATAGTCAGAATGTTTTTTTTAAAGGTCCAGTGGTTAAGCTATTTTTATTAGTAATAGCGTACAGATAAAGGCATGACTATTATCCATGTCCATTATCATTAGTGTTTTAAGAGGAAAAAAATGTCCAGGCATTGAAAACGTTACCAAGCCAAAATTTACATTACGAGTTATAGCTATATTTCTTATTAATTATGATGGTTAATAGTAGGTATAGTATTCTGATAGCATAAACTGATTTTGAACTCGTACAAAAAAAAGACGAATGCAAAACATTTTAAAGTGAATTTAGTGCAATCAAAATTGGTTCATTTTTGGTCCATGGGGGTGAGGAAGTTGCTCCGCCGACCTCCCCCTCTAACACGAATTCGAACAATAAAATAATTCAAAACCGCGGTGACAGAATTTTAATGTAACTTAACGATGAACGTATTTATAAACTATTAATGTAATCGCGATATTTAAAGTAAGAGAGTTAAATAGTTTAATTTTTGACCCGGGATTATCATTTGAACGGCAAATTATTTGAAAGTCGATATGATCTTTACGGCCGTTAGGTTAGGTCGCTGGCGGTGTAGCCGAGTCTAAGTGCGGGAAGTCGATTTAGGAGTTGAAACTCCAATTACACGACGTCGTTGGCTTAACGGCCAAAGTTGTGTAAAGGTGAAACCGAAGACGGTGTCCGTGGAATTCACAACGCCGGTCACGTGGCCGAGTCTAATGGCCGCAGTCCGGCCAAAAGTCACCGTGTTGCCCCTTCCTCATTAGCTGGCCGCAGCCAGGAGACGTCCGCATATTGATGTGCCAGGTTTTGTACTGCGGCCGCCGCCGGTGTACAAAGTTGGCCGCCGAAACTTTGGGCTTTATCACGCCGTAGGCAGTCCGCGGCGGCCGTGGAGGGCGGTAACTCCTCGTCAACATTAGTTAGGGGTCAGTTTGGCAAGATAACACCTCCTCCCTCCACCACCGCCGCCGATCATGGCTATTATATAACTCAATGTCGCCCCACTCCACTTCGCACCCTCTTTTACACGCTGCAGTCGCTTAGTTTCCCAGGTACTACATTCGAGATTTAACAAACCATCAAAGCAAGGGTATGTCAGGGGTGTTTTCCTAAAAAAAATCTTTTTAGTGTTTAGTTCTTACACTTTGCTAAGTATACCGGGTCTTTTTTGAGGGATCGAAAGAGACGCAAAAGTATCAATAAGTTTCAATTGATGATTTGATTCAATTGATGAAATAAATTGTCAATTTGTTGATAGATAATTTTCCCGTGAATTAAAAAAGGTAAGATACTTTTCTTTCGGCCGTGTACGGCAGTTTAGAAAAAGGTATTTTGAGAAAATTGTCCTTTTTAAGTTTAAAATAAAAAAATATTACAGATTACCACGCTCTGGAGCTAATAGGTAATGATAAATAATGGTTAAATGATATAATCTTGCAAGCATTCTTTTTCAAATATTAAAAAAAAAGAAACTAATATCAAATACACTTATGGTATATTATGCTTAGATTAGTTTAGGATAACAATAATTTCCATTACAATAATAATAATGCACAACGAAATCAAGCTTATAATGTGCGCGGCGAAAGAAGCTATTACACTATGAAAGAGATGTTCTCATCAAAGCTTCTGTACCGCCGAACGAAAGAGAGGTTATACACCAAATATTTGCGCCCCATAGCAACGTATGCATGTGAAACATGGGCAAGTACAAAAGGAGATGAAGAAAAACTCAAGTTTTGAGGAAAATATATGGGCCAGTGTATAATGAGGATTCAGGGGTATTCGAAAGAAGAAAGAATGACGAGTTACAGAAGATAATTTTTGTTAATGTTTTAGTACTTAAATTTCTATACTAAAACTAAACATTTTGATATCGTCGAAATTGTTGAGCTCCCTTCAATCGTTGTTTAGTTAAAGTTAACTAATTCTTGAGAGATACCTAGAGGGTCAGAGGAGAAAAATAAGTATACTGAATCCGAAATAGTATGTTTAATTTATCACGAGAGACCAACGATAATGGTAGAAAACAAATATAGCAGAGCTTACACGGACAGTGGTCGACCTGTCAATTTTAGTGACAGTTTTGGAGTTATATAATATGGTCAGTGTGGCTGATGCTTGGGGGAAAAATGTATTTTAAATTGAACGACTGACTGACCGCAGCAGTTGACTAAAAAAATAATATATAATATGTATATAAAATAAAATCTCTGTTCAATTCAAATAAATAACCGCATACATGCTATTCTGGGTCTGGATGGCAGCTTTTGTGTAAATGGACAAATTGACAGGACGACACGGGTTTAATTATCTGACGGCAGTCGATTTAAAATCCATCAGAGGGGTCTCCAGAGTAAAAACCGGGTACGGTGGTAGAGGCCACAGTTGTGGTTGTGAGTGCACGGCTTTTTTTGCCCATCTGTTTAGCATTAACATCGATATAATAATAACATAATACAGAGTGATCAATATATCGTCGACCACTCAATATTTCACTGGGTTTAATGAGAAATTCATTTTTTCTTTACCTAGTGTTTTTATGCAATGTGATCTCAATTTTTCACCATTTTTTTTTTTGGTTTTCCCCCCCCCCAACTTAGTTTTTTTGATAGCAACTCTTGAAACTTAAATGGTAACGCATACATTTCATTAACTTTTTAAATTGAGAATAATGTACTAACAAATTTGACTAGTCGATAACCTGTTTTGGATAACTATTTTTGAAGTTTCAAGTTCAGGGCAGGTGGAAAGGTGGTGGAGTGTAGTGTTATTTTTATCTGCGCGCATTTCACAACCGGACTTCCCCTCCCATCTTAACTTTTATACTCTTATAACTTTTAAGAAAACTAAGTTGGGAGGGGGGTAAAAACAAAAAAAAAAAATGGTGAAAAATTGAGATCATAATATTGTATAAAAAACATTATGGAAGAAAAACCGTTCAATTATTAATTAAACCTAAGATATTAAGTGGTTCACGATAAGTTAATCACCGTGTATAAATACGTCGCGATACTATTTTTAAAAAAATAAACATTTTGTACTATGTTTGGGGGTTATTTGATTTGTCCTCGATAATCAAGTAGCGTATGATATCTTTGAACTTTTAAAAATTTTTATCGCACAGAATTGTATTTTTTATCTCTCGCATTGTGGGTTTAATTCGTTATTTCGGAGTTTATCCAATGTGACGTGACCGGAGACAGTTTTTGACAAAGTAATTGGCAAAG